TCAAAGTGGCTGGAAGCCTAATTGATAGTGTTTTATTGGAGGCGAAAAGGACTGAGGGCAAGGCTGAATCACTGTCAAGTTTGGTGATAAAAATGCAGAATTGCAGTATAGCACTGGAGCACTTAGGATACCAGTCTGATTTGAATGCATTGCACACACAGGAATGCATTGTCCGATGTCTATCTATTGATTTACAGAGCCGATGGGCAGAGGAAGCTGAAAAAATAAATATGCTTGAGCGGGAATCTACGTTCAACGATTTGACGGAGTTCATAGGTCGTCAATCCCGTATCGCCAACAGTCGATTTGGACAAATCCTACGCGAAAGTTGCAGACTGGCGCGAAGGGAACCAACATCTCAAATTGTGGAGAAGGACTGTAACCAAACCCAGTCTTTGGCTAACATGCACATGATAAGTCAAGAACCCGAGAGGTCAGCTGAATGCAAGCTATGCAACTCCCTGCATCGGTTACCAGATTGTCCGACCTTTCATGGGATGAGTGTACCCGATCGGTGGTGCACAATTTGGTACCTACTATTGGTAATGTGAGTCACTAATGCCTCCCTCGCCAGCAGTTTATTCCGGGTGGCCTCATCAGCAAACTCCGTTAGGATTGGTCTCGCACAATGTTCGCCTTTGTTCCCTAATGGTGACTTCCATGTCCCCACTCTGTGCACACTTCTTAGAGTAGTAGAGCACGGAACACCTGCGATTCGCAGTATATCGTAGACCCTTCTCCTGTCTGTCCCTCCTGGCTTTCGATTCCATTATAAAGGGTTCTTCCTGGTTTAGGATCGGGAACCTGTGGCTTGAGACCCTGCCCATCGACAAGATCTGCCTCTGCAGAAGTGCATGTTCATCTACCCTAGCTAATCCATCCTTCGCGATATTACAGTCACCCTTTTTTTGACCTGCCCTACCCTTCTCGGCTTCTGCTGAGTCCACTGACCCTCGTCGGTCTGCTTCAAAGGAGTTGAGACAACGACCGCCTGGCAAGCTCTCGGAACTGGTCCACTCGCTCTGATGACTGTCCTCTCAGGTGTGGCTACTACTTCCACAAACGACTTACCGCAACCTGATTGCGGTGGTTTGGGGCTTACGACTGAGTTACTTCTTGGAGGGCGTTGGTCCTGCCCTTGGGCCTGCAGTTTAAAGGCCAGACTGGCTGCCTCCCTGCAAAGGGCACAGACCCATTCAACCCATGGGTTCTGTTTATAAAGGACATAGATGTCATTTGCTATTCCTGAACACCTTGGAAGAGCCCATCTCTTGCACACCTGGCACTCTATACCATTTACCACACGTTTTCCGCACTTGAGTGCGAGACACGGGCCAGAAACGCGTGTCATATCGAAAGCCACAAAAACGAGAGCGAAAACAACCTAAGAGCTCTTTACCCAAACACAAAATACGCACTCTGACACTAGCAGGTAAAGCCAGCTAACACAAAAAACAAAAAGAAAGACTAGAAGCGAGAAAAGGTGACTTCAAAAAACACCAAAAACTACTCGGCAAACGACAAGGAGAATAAAAATATTCTCCGGATAAGACGCACCTAAATGCAATTATGATACGCTCGGTATTGCGAATTAAACTAGGTTAATTTACCAAACTATTCAAAAACCCAATTTAAAGACGAGAGCACTAGGAATTCAAACCGCGCGGCACTTACGGAGCGACTTCTGGATGTATTTCTAAAGAGGTGGTGGGAGACACACATGAGTCTACATCACTGAGCTGTGGTGAGGAGGCTTACACTGGAGAGATACCCTCTGCATCTATTATGAAGAATGAATGGATCGGAGGAGCAAACCTACTTAGAATGGCTGCATGATAATGCGTTGCATCATCATATTAGAGAGAATACCAGATATGGGACTGGATGCGTTCCATTCTTGCTGGATCTAGCTATAACCAACTTCCCCAACGATGTGGCTGGACTGCATTATTGTGCACCGCTGGGAAAGAGTGACGACGTGTGTGTCAAAATAGTTCTATGCATGCGGCAACCGAAGGTACCCTCAAAGCTGATTAGGAATTTCGGTAGTATGGACATAGATAGGCTTCGTAATATGGCGATGGGTTTGACCTGGGGCGCGCCAGAGCAGGCTACTGTGGAGGAGCGCTGGCAGACCATAAAGGGATTTCTGACTGCCCTACAGGAAGCGTGTAAAGGAGTTCAGGAAAACCCGTTCCATGCATTAGCATCCATATTACAAACGACATTTATCATTCGTATGAACTATCTTTGCTGGAATTCCGATTGCTTGTTTTATTTCTCAAAATCTTTGTCACAAACCGGACTCCTACTGTTGCCTCGAGCGAGAGTAGCTCAGCTTGAATTTCGTTGTGACTGTACTTGGTAATCTCATCTTCTGTATCTAACCTTTTGCTGTAACCCAGCTGCAGTTGTTCATTTGTTGTCCAATTTGGAGCGAAAGAGTCCAGAAGGAATATTATTGAGGTTTGATTATTGTGAAATTAATTAATTTGTTGTATATAGTACCGTAGCTATTTGGAATCGACTTTGTTTTGAATTGTGTCGAAATTGGTTGCTACGCGTCGCTCGAACGTTCCGGTGGCTGAACTATACAGTACTCAATATCCTTGGCAATTGCTGGGACATGAAATTACGCAGCAAATCGGCAAACCGTTCCGAATCAAAAAACAATACCCTGCAGGTGAACCAAACCACTTTGCCCGTAGGTGTTGGTTATATTTCTTGCTCAGGCTCCAGTATATCAGGTTGTTCTAGGGTTAGCTCGGTTTCCCATAGAGCTAGAGCTGATCTGTTGTTAGCTGAGTTGAAGGTGAAGCAGGTTGCAGAATAGTTAGAGTGAGATAAGCAACGTAAGCCGCTTCAGGTGAGGAATGAGACGGAAATGGCGAAACTGCTTTTGGCACTCGCTGAGGAAGAAGAAGATCTAGTCAACAGAGATGAAGTCGGGGGTGGAGTAATGGTCAGTGAACATCTTTCTTGTTACCTAGGTGGTTGCCACGTGCAGAACGATGCACCGCGAACAACAAGCTTGATTCTAGTTGTGGAACCTGCAGTGAATTATCGTTTGGACTTACCCAGGGTGGAACTGGAGTCATTTGCGGGCTGCTCGTCTACGCACTGGAGGTTTGTGAAACAGTTCGAACATTACGTCGGAGGTAGAGCTTGAGACGATGGCCAGAACCTACTTTATTAAATGCATTATTGCAAGGGACAAGCAAGGGATGCGATTGCCGAATGTGTTATGTTGCCTCCAACACTGGCATACAATAGGGCTAGGGAAATCTTAAAGGATCTGTATGGACAAGATCATGTAGTGGCTCGTTCACTGATTGACGGCTTACCGCAAGGTTTGAAGCCTCTGGTGGAAGATTCGGATGCCCTGACCAGGTTGTCGTTAAAAATGCTGAATTGTGAAGTTGCCCCCTCGCGGATGAATTGCATGTCAGACCTCAACTCATGACAGACTATGGAACGTATCACTCGAGTGCCACCAACGCGTCTCCAGGATTTGTAGGCTAGGACCGTTGATGAGATTTTGGGAAGAGGAGACAAACGGAGGTTCCAAGATCTGCAGCACCTAGTGTCCCGTGAGGCATGGATTGCCCGAAGTAGGTTTGGCAAACTGGCTGCCAATAGCACGGCCTGTAACAGCCGGTCGTGGAAAATCCCCCTTTTTCCCTCGCGATTCAGTGTTTTTCCCAACATCACTCATTTCCATACACTATTGACTTGTCTTTACGAACTGGTTGTTTTTCTGGACCAATTGTTGTTTGTTCGCGCCCAGAGCGCTACTTTGACACATCCTTGTTCAGGACCTGCGTGACGCACGTGCTGTCTGCTCACGCGCTGCTATTCGGTTTCTCGTTGTTGAGTCCTTGTGATCGTATTATTGAGGTTTGCATATTGTTTTTGTCATTGTTTATCTTAATAATCTAGTATCGTAGAATTATCACGGATAATCGCCTTCTGATTTCGGGATCCGTTGCAAATTTGGCTACGCATTGCTCAAACGTTCGTTACAATACTCAATAGATCAATTTGGAACGAGGAAAAACACGCAAAATGCCAAGAAAAGGATCAAAACAGTCGAATCCGGGCAGGAAGTAATACTGCAAGTCTTTGGGGAGGTTTTGGGTACATATGATTCTTTATTTAATGCTAGATCGCCAAATCCTGTCAGTGCTAGTTCATGTGTTATTGAGAACAATATTGATCGTAAGGATGTCGATTTATATAAGCTGAGAATACTAGAACTAGAGCAACAGTTACTATCGGCTAGACTACAGGCGCAGGAAGCAGAGAAGTGTACACAGAAACAGCGAGAGCATGAGACCAGTGACTTTGACACTTCCGATAGGTTAGGGTGCAATAAGGTAGGGAACCCCACGCCGGTCGCCGACTACAAACCACCATCGATCGATCTGCCTAGAGTGGAGTTAACGGTTTTCGACGGGCGAGCTGAGCAATACTGCAAGTTTGTCAAGCAGTTTGAGACGTTCGTTGAAAATAAGGTAACCGACCCTGGGCAAAGGCTTCTCTACCTTACTCACTACTGCCGAGGCCGAGCAAGAGAAGCTACCGATGGGTGCACCATGCTCGACCCAGAACAAGGCTACACAAGGGCAAGGAAGATTCTGAGGGACTTGTTTGGCCAACCTTTCAAAGTAGCCCGTAACCTAATAGAGGGCGTGATGGCAGAGGCAAAGAGAACCAAGGGCGACGTCTACACCATGGCCGACCTGGTGATTAAGATGCAGAACTGCTCAATAGCCCTCGACCATTTAGGTTACAGGGCTGACCTAGACGCCATGCACACTTTAGAAGGCATAGTCCGTCACCAAGTTCGGCGACGCCACAATAGACGAACGGTGGGGAATGGCGAGGATGGCAGGTGCATGTTTCATCTGTCTCAACACCACGCACCGGGCAGCAGCCTGTAGAACAAGGAATCGATGTGGTTACGAGGGCTGCACGGGCAGACACCATCGGCTGCTGCATCAGGCGAGAGTAACCATATCCGAGGCGAGTACCAAACCCAGCGTGATTTGTTCAACTTCACAATCTGCCAGTAAACCGGTACGTTTAGGCGTAGTGGCCGTGGGAGTAGTGACTCCGATTGGGATAGTCAAGGCGTTGGCTTTCGTTGATAGTGGATCCGACACCGCTTTGGTGAAAGAGCGGTTTGCCGACAAACACCAACTGGCTAAAGGTGCGACGTCGTTAGCAGTGAGCACGGTGGGCGGAACACAGGTAATGACTGCCGGTAGATTAAGGCTGCAACTCATCTCTCTAGACACTAACGAGGAAATTGAACCAACGGAGGCATTCACGTTAGCGGATCTCCCCATGCGAGCACCAAGGTCGGTGAATGCAATCTTGACTCGGTGGCCCCACCTGCAGGATATAACCGTTGTAGACTGGGAAGATGATGAGGTGGATCTCCTCATCGGCTGCGACGTGCCAGAGACGCATTGGGTGCTTGACCAAAGAGTGGGCGACCGCCAGGCACCTTATGCCGTACGCACGGCTCTGGGATGGATGTTATACGGTCCAGTCGGGATACGCGTTTCCGTGAATTACTATTCCATCGAAACGGACCGCATAGAGTATCATCTGCAACGGCTGTATGAAAAGGAGTTTCATGACTTTGGAGACGAAAGACTGACGTTGTCTCAAGAGGATCACTTCGCTCTACAAACGGTGCAGCAAGGCACTAGAGGCCTCAAAAAACAGTTCGAGGTTCCCCTCCCATGGCGCACGCCGGTCAACCCGTGGACTGACAACAAATTATGTTCTCCAACGATTACTACGACTAAAAGAACGCTTCATTCGAGACCAGAATCTGTGGGAACGATACGTGGATTTGATGAAGCGAAACGAGGTCCTCGGTTACGTTGAAAAGGTGCCTGTTAACACCGACAGCAAAAGGGGTATCTGGTATCTGCCTCACCATCCGGTTGTCAACCCCGAGAAACCCAATAAACTGCGGGTGGTTTTCGACTGTGCGGCCAAGTTCCAGGGCAAGTCGTTAAACGATCGCCTACTACAGGGGCCTGACTGGACCACAACACTGATCGATGTTTTGTGCCGTTTCCGAGTGGGTAAAGTGGCTTTGTCTGCTGACATTAGGGAAATGTTCCACCAGGTGAAGATTCCGGTAGGGGAACGAGATGCTTTGCGTTTCCTGTGGTGGGAAGGGAGCGACCGGGACAACGCAGTGGTGAATTATAGGATGACCGTCCACCCCTTCGGAGCCATATCGTCACCATTTTGTGCCAACTACGCCCTCCCAGAATCAGCGAACAAACATAGCGATCTGGTACATCGGACGGTGGTAGAAAGCGTCAGCAGGAACTTCTACGTCGACGACTACCTTGGGTCATTCGATGATGTGGAATCAGCTCTAGAGCAGTTCAGGGGTCTGACGAGATTGCTGGAAGAGGGCGGCTTCCATCCAACTAAATGGATGTCGAACGCTTCAGAAGTGCTCAAGGTCATCCCGTATCACGAAAAGGCCGAAAGGGTAAGAGATTTGGACGGCTCTCCACTTCCTATTGAGCGCACCTTAGGGATACAATGGGACGCGGAAACGGACGATTTTGTTTTCGAACTGAACGTTCCCGAGCTGCCAATAACCCGTCGTGGCATACTATCTGCTGTCTCTAGTCTGCTCGACCCGCTCGGTTTCGTCTCACCATGGCTGCTACCCGGAAAGATCTTGCTGCAGCGGCTGTGCCGTAAGAAAGTTGATTGGGACCAGTCACTGGACCGGGGGGACCGGCTGGACTGGGAAGAATTTTTGAACACCTTGAAGAAATTAGGGGACATTAGAATCCCACGATGTTTGACTTCTGGCCATACGACACGGACTGGAGAACTACATGCTTTTTCCGATGCATCCGAAGTCGGTTATGGAGATGTGGTGTACGGACGTTGGTGCGCAGAAGATGGACAATATACCACGAGGATCCTGTTCGTCAAAACCCCAGTTGCTCCACTGAAGTCGGTCTCAATCCCACGCCTTGAACTCAGCGCAGCCGTGTTGGCAATCAAGGTGGTGCAAGCTATGAAGAGATGCTTCGATCTCTACATTTGGTCGGTGAGCTTCTGGACGGATTCAACGATAGTACTTTACTATATCAACAACGTCCGGAGCCGGTTTAGTACTTTCGTTGCTAACCGGCTCACGATTATCCACGATGAATCAGTCACGCACCAGTGGAGTCATGTCAGGTCTGGCGATAATCCGGCCGACCTGTGCTCCCGAGGTGCGAACAACTTCAAGCAACTGGACACGTGGACGAGAGGGCCAAACTTCCTGCAATTGCCCAAACAGGACTGGCCCGTGTTCTAATTAAAAACCCCTACGGAATTGGAACTGGAGAGCAAAGGCGTAGTGATAGCAACCAACGTCGTCGAAGCGTCGTCCATTTTATCGCGACTGGTCAGGTTTTCTTCCTGGATGAAGACGCTTCGTTCGCTAGTTTGGTTAACCAGGTTCAAGAGCAATTTACTAGTCATGAAAGGGCTGCGGCCCTCAGGTCGGATACGGGTCGGCCCGATAGGTCCCGATGAGCTACAAGCGGCAGAGTACGATATTTTCCGAATGATACAACGCGAGGCTTTCGTCCGAGAACTCAAGAGGGCGGAAGAAGTGGGGCTGACCAATAAAGACATGCCATCTCCAAGAGGCGAGCTGCAGCGTTTAAACCCCAAACTCATCGACGGACTGCTGCGAGTGGATGGTAGGCTGACCAACGCCCACCTGAACTTCGACAAAAAGTATCCCATATTGCTGCCTGCGAGATAACCTGTAGTAGAGCTAATGATTCAACACGTCCACGCCGTGGAGGGACATGCCGGGGAATGTCACGTGACGAGCGTCATCCGAAAGCGTCTTTGGTTGTTGAGAGGACGAGAGACTGTAAAACGCGTAATCCGACGGAGTGTGCAATGTAGGAGACGCAATTCCGAGGCGGGAAAACAACTCATGGCCCCACTACCAGAATGCAGGGTGACTACGGGCTGGTGGCCGTTCAGTGACACCGGGTTGCACTATTTCGGGCCCTTGTGGATCAAGTGCGGGAAAAGATTAGAAAAGCGATACGGATGTATCATGACGTGCATGAAATCACGTGCGGTACACCTAGAAGTCGCACATTCGATGACGACCGATTCGTTTCTACGGGCCTTGCAAAGATTTATCAACCGAAGAGGCGTACCGGCCGATATATACTCAGATAATGGGTCGAACTTTGTGGGCGCTCACCAGAGATTGCAGCATCGGCACAAAAACATAAACAGGGACGAACTGCAGGATCGAACCGTGGCCTACGGCATACGATGGCATTTCAACCCCCCACAGGCCAGCCACCGAGGCGGCGTACGGGAACGCATGATCCGGTCCGCCAGACGGATATTGCTGTCAATCATGGAGCAGCAGCCGCCCGACGACGAGACGCTGAACACCGTCATGACTGAGGTGGAGCGAATCCTGAACAACCGCCCCCTGGTTCCAGTATTGAACGCCAGCTACTTCCATGATCTTTTGTTCTGGAGTCTTTTGCCACATGGAATAGACTCCCCGGTCTTAGCCCAGGAAGGCCTTTGGTTTTCTCTGTGAGGTTCCCATCGTGGTTTTCTCGTTTCCATGGAGAAAATTCTGAGGTCCTTAAGTCTCGTCCCATAATTCTTGCCGTTTGACCCTCAATCATGCGCGTTGCAAGGCGTTGTACTTTCTCCAAACAAGTGTCATCCTTTTTGTACGAGGGTGGCCATGCCTGAACACAGATTTCTACAGGAGATCTAACTTAAGACATGCATACTGGCATGATAGTCGTCGGTTGTCCCCACGAAAACGCTGATCTCTACTTGGGGAGTTCACCGCGTGTCTTTTTGCAGGTGCTGCAGACTGATCCGACCACCTAGGGTCAGAAGTCACCAGTATTCCGAGGTCTTTTACCCTGTTTACTGCCTCTGCAATGGTAGAGGTTACTAATCCTGAAACTTAACTCATCCTCATATGGACGTTTGTTACTTGCCTATTCACCAAAGTACAAAAATGTACATTCATAAAATCGGTTTCATGTCTCCCTGTTTCGTAACTCATTCCTTTTCTTGAACCCCAGTAGAACCGACATTCAGGGTTTGCATCAGCTTTATGGCTTGCTATTCTCTTCGCATGCATCAATTTCCCCGACTGTACTGCCATACAATCTCTTTTTCTTCATATTTGAAACTTCGCTGCACGCAGATACCCAGTAAACCGCCGTTTTTCATCACTTGCATCATTTTCTTTAATGATGCACTTCTAGCAGCGCGAATGAACGACATATTCGATATCTCAGCTGTGCGCTACCGCCCAGCGAGCAACCGAAACCGGTTCAAAGTTGGCGCGCAAACTATTATTTGAGTGATCCATATAAACTATCGCTGGCTATGTTTTTCTACAGCTGGCACTCTTGACTTTTATATCTGAAGTTTGTGATTATTTACTTTACTGAGTAACGCTGTAAACCATGATCATGCGCCTGCGTGTGTGTCTCGACCATAGCCGAGAATTTTACCATTCTTATTATTATTATAATAGATGGGCCTTGGTCGTGTGCAGCCGTCAGGATTAGCAACGTTCACGACAACAAGTGGATCATCCCAGCATAGATGCGTATGTTCCACTCCTGTGCCTGGTTAAGAACAGCAGGTAGGTCTATGCTTGGCCGTTCTCTCCCCTGAGCTCTCAATAAACTCACATCCCATGCGAAGTATTATTCGTTAACGGGTGCGAGGCTTAAGCCTAAATTTCCCAGTTCATTTGTGTACCTTCTTTTTTCCGGTGCAACCGAACTGGGATAGCAAAACTCGGCAGCAGAAGGGTGTGGATTTTCTCAAAAGCGATACTAGGAAAAAATAAATGTTTCCCACGTAGTACACGACTCCGACAGTATGAATACGGACGATTCAATGCATCAGTATAAAGTTTTTGTTTTAAAATTTACACAGAAGAATGATTCGCATAAACATTTGTAAGAGGAAGGAGAATGGATCTGTTTATAACTGCGTGCATGTAAAAGTATATGGGATTGTAGAGAGGACATGAAAATATGGGGGAGAATGACCTACCCCAGGGCCATCGGAGAATTGGCTGGCATTGACACTGGTCCTGACCAGTTGCCTAGCCTAGTCTTAGATGCCTCTTTTGAGGAGGCGTTCACTACCTCCTGTGGAAAGCTATTCCATAAAGATATTATCCGGGAAGAGAAGGAGTGTTGTCTAATGGAGGCACGTGCACGGGGTTTGGAAAGTTTTCTCGTATGTCTCCGCAGTGCCTCCAAGTCCGGATAAGTGAAAAACTGCTCCGCTGGGCCAGGTAAGAATAAATCACACATCAGGAATAGGTCTCCTTTATTACGGCTTCTGTGAAGAAGGTAGAAACTAAGTGATAACAAATGAACCGGGTGGTAGGTAAGACGTAAGCCATGTACCGTTCTGGCCGCCATCCGTTAAATCTGCTCCAAGATGTCCCGATCTCTGACGAGGCCATTGTGTACTATCTCGCTGTCGTATTATAAAAGGGGTCGAATATATGTTCCATACAGAAGATTGAACTCCTCTTTGAAATTCATCGAAAAAGTTCGTTTAATAACGTTTGGGAATCGGGAGGCGATTTTACCAGCATTTTCCTTGATGGGCGGAGTACGAAAGATTACTGTGCAGGCAGAAACCAAGTGTCTCGTGTTGGTCCACTATTTGGATTTGTGTGTTCCACCTACCTTGAAGAGATGGGCTGCAGCATTGCCAAATGACATGCTTGCACGTTTTTCACTGTGTGTTGTGAGGCTCCAATCAGTCAGCCAAATTTGACCGAGCCGGTGACTGACTGCACAAGATTTGCGCCCGTGTTCCAGATTGTGGCGTCACCTGCGTACATCACTATGATAATCGGAATCACATGGGGAAAGTAGTTGATCTAAGTGAGGAATGGGAGAGGACCGAGTACAGAGCCTTGGGGAATTCCTATATTGGTAGTTGCGTGTTGCGACTAAGACGTGTACACACGAACCGAGAAGGTTGGTTTTTTAAAAAAGCTCTCAATCAGGGACAGTAGGCGGCTGGAGATACCGTATATCCTGAGTTTGTAAGGAAGCGGAATATGCGGGACACTATCGGAGGCTCTGGCAAAATCAATGAATGCGGCGTGGGATATCTTGCCATCATCATGGGCCTGTACCAGGCCATCCACAACTTTAGGCAAGTTGGTAATACATAACCTGTCAGGAAGTAAGCCATGTTGCGCTGGAGATAGTAAACTATTGTCGCACAAGTGTGTCAAGAATCCGCGTTTTATGATACGCTCAATGACTTAGCTGGGGACAATGATAAGGTTTATTGTCCTTTCACTTCAAGGAAGGTGTCGATCTCCTCTCCTATGAATTGAGACAATTACAGTATGCTTCCATGAATTTGGAGGTCTTTCGTTTTCGATGCGCTGTTGAAAGAGCGTAGAGTTTGATGCTGCGAGAATGGAAGCGGGTTCCTCAATAATACGAGGCTGAAATTTGTCCGGTCCCCCCGAGCTGAACGGACTTAGTTCGTGAAGTCACTCTTCCGCTTCTTATTGAGGCACCTTGAAGTACTCCAGTGGGGAGACTGGCTGCTTTAGACCGAACGGATAGGTGTTCACAAGCAAGCACTACGTGCGTGCTGAAAACCGACATGAAATGAAATCTGATAACTTCTACCTTTTCAGAAGAGAAGGTGGCAGGAGAGCCATGAGAAAGCAACAGCGTGAGACCTGAGGGCCAGGTTCTCGACTGCGGCGCAAATGTTCATAGGGGAAAGAGCGGTTCGAACGCAACTGGTCCTAGGTTCATTTCTGCAGTTTCTTGGAGTGTACCCTAATCTTCGATTTACAAAGATTCTGGAAGCGTCTGAAAGCCTCTGCATCCGCAGGATAGGAATGTGGCTAGGTACTTGGCGAACAGCTGAGGGCGTCTGTCGAGAAGGCGTCCAATTGATGATGGCAGATGTGCCTCACCCTTTGAAACCTGCCGGATTCTGGGCAGGTGTGGAATATATGCCTTCAGAACGCATTGCTCTAGTAGCCTGCTGCTTTCTTCTACGTCTATGTAGCCAGATATGTTACTTAGTTCGCCTCTAATGTATGGCCTGATCATTTGGTAATCCGTTCACTTGAACGAACGGTCTAGTCTGTATGGGAATGTGTAGTCAAAAGAGGGGGCTATGTGGTCGCTCTTACCAGACGGTGGTAGAAGAGTTGCAACGTTTACGCTGTGTTTGAAATTGGTTACGACCAGATCTAGAATCGATGAGCGTTGACCCATTCTAAACCTAGCG